CGACAATGAAAAAGATTTTGATTACGAATACTATCTTAACCTTGATAATACAAATTTACTCGATGATTGTAGTTTCAATACAGTACTTTGAACACAATCATAACTCTATCGATAAAGATTTGTTAGCGTAATTTATCAGCATATCTTAAATATATTTGGAAATTTTATTATTATAATAAAGTATTTATATTGAATAAAGTAAATGTCGCAGTTGAATTTTATGTATAAAAAATGTCTAAAATTCCTTCTCTTGCTCTCTACGATTCATTCGTTTCAAACAAACTTGCAAATCAACTAATAACAAAAACAAAATGCTTTCAAAAATCTTTATGTTACTTGTTGTCCTCAGCATAGTTCTCAGTTTATTCCTCACACACCTTCTCGACGGTGAATATAATTCTGATATTCACCAAATTCTTAATAAAATCCTTTCATTCAAATTATTCTTTTGGACCTTGGTAATTACTATTAATATAGTAATTACAAGTTTATTTCAATTTTGGTTCTGGAATCAGTTAATCGAATTGTTTCCGGAACATTTCATCTATTAAACGCCGTTCATGAAGAAGAAAGAAGAAAGAAAGAAATAAATATGAATAGAAAGATTGTGATTTTTGGAGATGTCAACTGGAAGATTGAAAAGAATGAAACGAAGCATTCCGAGAAATTTAAGAAATTTATCGGGGAAACGAATTGAATGAGGAAGAACATTTTTAAAATGAATTTTGTGAATTTTGCGAGATACGAAAATCAAACAAGTCGATAAAACAAACTTAGATTTTTTTTAAACAATTAGAAAGCAAGAATACTTATTTTAGTTTGGATTAAATTTTTAAATTTATTTATTATATATTTTATTTACATGTAATAGTTTGAACTGAAATCCCAGAACCCTTCTTTATCTATAACTCTTCCATTTCTTGCATATTGGCTCACGATTATGTTTTTAAAATTGTCGTTTTGAACAATTTTATATGAGCCTTCCAACTTCCATTTGATATTCATGTCTGATGCTCGTCGAACTCTTACTGGGATCTTTTCAACATTTAATCCTCTTCGAATCGCTTCTTAGAATACGTAAAGTCGACGATTATCTGAAGAGAAGATCATATCATCGATAATGCAGACTTGAATATGTGGGAAATCTTCAATTTGGATACTGCCATTAACAAGTTCGTCAATGGTTTCTTCGACGTTTCCACTGTTCCGAAAAGAAGAGTTAATTGTCGATTGGCTGAATAAAATTTCGAACAGGTTTATCTTTGTCGTATAATCTCCGTCAGCCAACTGTAATTTATATTTAAGGATTTTTGTTTGAAGGAGCAGAAGAGCTCCAAGAATCCAGACAAAAATAAATGAAAAGGGAGCCAGAATAATAATTAGAATTAACAAAGTTAATTCTATTTGGTAGTTTATGCTTGATTCGACAAGCGTATCTTGAGAAAAATCAGTTGATTGATTCTCCTCTACTGTTGGTTGTGTAAAGTTATTTGAAGAATCTTCTTCGAATTCTTCAGAATCGACTGTATAGGTGGGTCGATCTTTGATATCATTCCAGGAGTTTTCATCTTCTTGGGGAATATCGTTCCAATGGGAGTTCATTTCATCTTCCCATTGTTGATATATTTCATTGTTTTCATGTTTGAAAGTAATT